GTGTGTGTGTGTGTGTGTGTGTGTGTGCGGGGGGGAAGGGCGACCCCTTCCCCACCAATCAATCAATCAATCAATCAATCACAAAAAAGAAAAAGTAAAAAAAAAAAAAACAGCTGGTTGGACCAGCGCGCGCGCGCGCGTGTGTGTGTGTGTGTGTGTGTGTGTGTGTTACATCTTCGACGCCACACGGATAACAGGCCGAAAGGCCACGACTTGGACACGACTACGGACCAGGCCCAAATGACATTTCGTCTTTGGGCCTGACGGCGCCGTTTGAGGCTGCCGCTCTCCGGTTGGACCTGAATCGTCGATCTGGACGGTTCAGCCCCAACCAAGGCCTCGCAGCAGTGAGGCCGGTCCTCGTCGAACCAGTACTTAGTACTGGTCCGGCCTCACTTCGAGGCATCGACCCACCGGTATACGATACGGTGCGGTAAGGTCGGCACCAGAGTGCCGTTGGAGCGCTATGTTTAGCGCAGGAGCGAGGAGCAGGCAGCGCAGCGTTAGCGCAGCAGCAGCGAGCGGAGCAGCAGCAGCGGCGACTGGCTACCGGCGGCCATAGCCGCCTGAGGTACCGGGAGTTGGAGGCTTCTCTCCTCCCTCCCATCGCCAGTCCCCTCTCTCTCCCTCTTCTCCTCGGCTCCCTCCTTCTTCTTCTTCTTCTTCTTCTTCTTCTTCTTCAGATTGGACAGAGATCAGAGTTGGACTTCGGTGGTATGAGACTGTGGTACTTACCAGATTGGAGACTTGGAGATCGTTGGGGTTGATACTTGGCGACATCACAGTTCAGACACCGGTTACATTTGGACTCTGTATCCCCGACATTGGTGACCTATGGTCCTCGACATTTGATCTTGTTGGATGACATTTTGGACTACCATATCGGTGACCTATCAGATTCCATCTCGGTGACTTTCGGTGCTGTCTACCTCCCCCCACCTCTTCGTCTCTCCTCCCCCATTCATCTGTGTATGTGTGTACGGGGCTGAGCATCTTCTATGTATGGCTCAGCCCCCACCACCTCACGATTTTATGTGTGTGGAGTGATGCTATGTGAGTCAGTCTATGTGAGTCAGTCTATGTGAGTCAGTCCGTTCATCAGACTTCCGTTGCATATATGCTCATCCTACATTGGTTGATCCTTGGTTCTGCCCATACTCATTGGAGTATGTAACAGTGTGTGTGTGTGTGTGTGTGTGTGTGTGTGTGTGTGTGTGTGTGTGTGTGTGTGTGTGTGTGT